GGGGGAGAAGGAGAAATAGGGGCAGGGGTAGGGCGCGAGAGAGGGGCGAGAGGGGGAAGGGGAGAGAGAGGGGATTGACGCGGTAGCGGGTGTCACAGGGGCCATCTGTTATGTAGGAGGCCTCTATCGACACAAAGTGAAGCCACTCACCCCCTCATGGTGACCCCCTCCTCCCTCCCACTACACCCCTTTGGAGACACTCCCTCGCACACACTCACACCTACACAAACACATGCGTACGTGTACGTCTCTCTCACTCATACACTCTCTCACTCATACTCTCTCTCTCACCAACACACACACACATTCTCCCACTCTGTGTCCTTCCCTCTCTGAAAATGAAAAGGCCCGCTACGTACCCAGCGCAGCAGCCCTCGAGGCAGCCCGGAGTTCACAAAACGTCAGCCAGCTGGTTGAATTAATCCACTCCACATCGCAAATTTGCTCAAATCTGACCCACTTCCAAGAGCAGAGGGGAGAAAAGTTAATCAAAGAGAAGGAAATAGGAATGATACCAGCCATGGACTCCTCCGCTGTAATAAAACTACATACTGTAAAGTTGTTCAAAATAATCTATACTCAACAAGTAATCTTGTTTCGAGTTTTCAAATGAATTATAATGAAAGGTGACTGACGATACGATTACATTGTTAGATATATATGGTTTCAAGGCTCAAGAGGTCCACCCTAGCGCTGTAGGAGGGCATGTGACCCACGGGGACAGTAGGGGAACAGCAGAAGGACCACACCCAGTACAACAACTGCTACTGATCCCGCACGGCGATAGGCGATAGGCGGCAGACACAGTGATACAGGACGATCCCCTCCTCTCACCCCACCCTCACCACATCCCCAAGCGCACTTCCCGCTTATAAGCAGACAGTATAAGTGTTCCGCAAAATAACTTGCAAATATCCTCCACAAATCCACAAATTGCCATGTTTCCCAATAACATTAAGGGGCCATATATATCCCCTTCCCCTCGTCCGAACCGAGATAACTAGAGGCAGAGTGGAAGAGTGTTCAACGCAAAAGCATTGAAAGGGACAGTTTCGAACCGATAAACAAGCCGAATATTTTTTTCGCGTAAGTACGTAACTAGTTGGTTCCCTTCTGGCTGAATCTATATATAAGCGAACAGTTGTAATTGATCTTGACTGGTAAACGAAAGAAAGTTGAAGTTGTACAGTGCAAATTTGTCGTTTTCCCAAACTTTGAAAAAACGTAAATTGTAAAATTTTACCCTAAAAATGATCTGTACAGTACAGTTCATCTTTACTCAACAGGCGGTCATCGTAGAGTAAACATACACGCCCACCGCCAGCCAGCATGAGGCCAGCAGGACACCGCCAGGACACCAGCAGGACACCGGCAGGACGCACAAAACAACAACATGAAAAGGCGAGCCAGGGTAAATAATGGGGCTGCCAAATCAATGACCAAGCCCTTTGGGTGAGGAGGCGTGGCGAGGCGTGGCGGAGCGTAGTGGGGGCGTGGTAGTGGTGAGCGGGAAGCGGGATGAGGCGAGGATTGGCGAAGCTTGCACTTTACCCAGATTATACAATATTTGTTGTTGGTATTGTTGTTGTGTGTGTGCGTGTGTTAGTTGGTGTTATTTCGCAAAAATTATTGCGTAGCAAGCGGCACCCCGTTGCACTATAACCAAACTGCCGTATTGTATACAAGCTGCCCTACCGCCCAACGGCATGCAACGGCAAGCATAGCCTATTTACACCCTCACTTTTAGAGCCGTTATACAATTTCTTTGGGGCTGTACGCGGGTAAGCTCGGTTAAAAGAATTTTGTTGACAATTATACATGTACCTTTTTAAAAAAGAAATGAGCATAAATGGCCTTGTAAAACAAAACTGTCACACATAAAGCACACCGGACATGCGTCACGCAAACGGTACCTGATTAGGCAAGCGCGCGCGCACGCACGCACGCACGCGCGCGCGCGCGCGCGCACACACACACACATACACCACGAGGCAGCCGTGCCCCCAGCGATGGGGCACGCGATAAGGATCAGTGACACGATCTGAGCTGCGCCGTGCCGTACTGCCAGCTGATCCTTGATTAAAGGGCGCGAGAGGAAGGCGGATTGAAGGGGGGTGGAGAGAGAGAGAGAGAGAGAGAGAGAGAGAGAGAGAGAGAGAGAGAGCGAGCGAGCAGACAGGGGGCGGGCCATCTGCCGTGAAGATAGCATCGCGCTACATAACCAGCTGCTAATCACACACGGGAGGGCGCCATTATCAGCGCGCTATTAGGTTAGGCAGCCCGCCACACACCTCCGGGAGGTGGGGCCCGCCCCGCGCAGCCACATAGGCCGCCAAAGGCGAACACTCAGGAGTCAGGAGCTTCAAATTTGGTTAAAACACTTTTCATTTTTTACATTTTATAACCCGGCCCCTTTTACTTTCTCCCCCGCCCCCCGCCCACTCTTTCTCTCTCTCTCTCTCTCTCTCTCTCTCTCTCTCTCTCTCTCTCTCTCACTCTGCCATTCCCCCTAATTCTCTCATACCCACGAAAGACAGGAGGAGAGGGGCGATAGAGAAGCGGCAGGGTAGGGCGAGGAGGAAGAGGGAGGGGGGCATAAAGAGAGGAAAGGGACAGGAAAAAAAAGTAGCAAACGGCGTGGGGAGTGGAGAAGAGAGAAAGCAAGGGGTTGGTGCTGTTGGGGTGCGTGATTTTATTTATTTGACTTATGCCTGATATTTTGGGCCGCAATTGCTGGGCGGGGCAGCGCGGCCTCGGACATTACCAACCCCCTCACCCGTTTTCTTCTCCCTCCACCCCCACCCCCATTCGCCCCCTTTCTCTCTCTCCCTCTCCCTCTCTCTCTCACACACACAGATTCACACACGCTCGCATACACTCGCACGCACCACACAGACCAGACAGAGGCTACACTGACCACTGAGGCCCAATCACATGCTGCTCCCAACAACTCCCCTTTACGATGGGCCCTTTACCAAGGGGATGAGAGGGTTAAGCCCTGCCCAAAACCATGGCGTTGAAAAAGAGAAAAAACACACTGGAAATAGAAAACGCTGAAAACCGGTTGCAACAAAGAGAAGGAACTGATTTACTTGTTTACTTTGGACAATTAGTTTTGTTTTGGACTGCTTCGTCAGGAAGTTTGCAAAAATGTTGGCGTTTTCCTTGGGATATTGTATGCGGTGTAGTCGTGTGGCAGTAGCGTGTTGGCGTGCGATTGGACACGGCGATACCCTCCTCGCTTATTACTCGCTCATCATTGCATCGCGTGACGTTGGCGGGGCGGACGGGACGGGACGTCGGTGGATCAGATCAGCCGTCCTGGCGCCGCGACGCGCCGTGACCACACTGTTAGACTCCTACAAAGCAATGCTGCTTTGCAGAATTGCGAAGGATTACGATCCTTTTGCGATTACAGAGGCATTTGCTTTGCAACTACAAAGCGATGCTTTGCAATTGCGAAGTAAGGCCATCTTTCCATGCTGCAAGGCAACGCTTTGCAATTGCAAAATAAATGCTTCGGTGTCGGTGTTCGAAAGGATCTAAATACATTGCAATTCTGGAAAGCATTAGTTTTTCAGGTATTTAGTAGAGCAGTGACGGCACTAACAAATCAACACCCTTAACCTGGATGACAAAAAATGCCTGTTACTTCGGTAAAAACACAAGGGGGTCCACGGGGTCAACACGTGTGTATTTCTGTGTACTGTAGAGTACATTTGTAATTTGTTTTGTATTTTTTGTATTTTTGTGTACACCACTAACGATAACATTTATGTGCATTTATCACCCTGCTGACCGTATTCTAAAATAAAATTTATATTTGCTTCTTTTCCATTCTATTTGTTATAGATAAGGCACAACATTTTAAGAAAAGAAGAGAGAACTTTCGCCACACCGCGCGTGTTTCGGTCGGTTTCGGTGCACGTGCCGGTGAGGGTGGCTTTGCCTTCCGTTTGCCCATAAGAAGCCATGGCCCCAGTGAGAAGGCAAACCAGAGCGTGCACCGAAACACGGCAGAATCTAAAAATCAGCAAACACCCCCAAGAACGTATCAATGGAACTGGCGCGCGTACGTCGACCGGCTGACAGCTATCGAGTGACATACGAGGCGGGGCGCGGCGCGGCGAGGGTGAACCATCACTACCATTTTGGTTTGTACACTGTAATCCCATCCAGTCCTTATGCCGCGCAGATCAACATCGTATCACTCACGACACAGCCGCAGGCCAAACGCGTCCCCGGAGACAGCAGCCGCCACCCCACACCATCCCGCCCCGCTCTGCCACGCCCTGGCCGGTTATTCAAGTTTCAATGACTGCATGTCTTCATTTTAAGGACAATAATAGACCTGTTCAGCTGGTCTCAAAATTTATGACTCTTCGGTCATTAAGGGGTCGTGATATGAGGGGCATGCACAGGGCATGGCACGTAAAAAAGACAACATTCTCCTGATGGGACCGTGGAGGGACTTGTGGTTTGTGATGAATAATATTTCAGAGTATATTACAAATACTTCTCGAGTCGGGACGGTGAAGCACTTCTGACCATTGTGGGTGGCGCACAAAAATGATCTCAAATGGGTAGTTGACATTTTTCAACGCGCAAAATACTCGATGAACCAAGCCATAGAATTGTTATTTTCCCCTCCTCCCCCATTTTTGTGACCACCAAAAAAAGAAGTTAAAAACGGCGGTGTTGAGCGGAGGGAAATGACCCTTTTTCCGCTGTGCGGGAAAAGTCGGGCAGGCAAATGGTGATTGCGAATAATACGCCGCCGAGGGCCGGGCGGCTGGGGCGCAGCAATTTGTGCTCCTCGCACCTCCTTGCGCAATGCCTCACGCTCCGGCGGGCCCGTGTCACCAACAACTCCCACCCCCCTTTTCCCTCTTAGTCTTGTCCGCTAACATTCTCCCTTTTCCCTAGCTCCCGTTTTTTTTCCTTCGACATCTTTCATTATTTTTCCAACCCCTTAACGTACCCATTTTTACTTTTTTTTCATCTTTACTTTTTGTCATGGGTCGCGGGTCGCCAATCTGTGCGCGAAATCCCGTGTCCACGCATGCACCCTTTCTTCCAAGTTTTTTTTTTTGTCCAGAAACTGGGAAATGTTTTTGCCAGTCCATTTGCGGGGCAGTGCCAACATCCTATCCTTCCGCTCGGTTGGCTCGCGCGACTGCTCACCGGCGACGACCCGTGACCCGCGGACCGGAAGGGTTCTGGAGCGTCCGCGATGTCTTTCGGAAGGTTGTTCTTCTCCGCAGTTTCTTTTTCCTCTAGCGAAATAACCGTACTGTAAGCAGCACCATTGACCATAGATGCCCAACATACATCATGTTACTAAGAGTAGGTAATATTAATTTTTGAAAACCGCCTTTGTTTTATTAACTTTATCCTGGTTTAACCCCCCAAAACGCGTTTCAGATAGAGGAAATTGGAACCGACCAGAAGGACGCAAAACCGCAAAAAGGTGGCAAAAAAGGTTTGCCAATGCCGCCCCATACGACAGCGAGCGCCGCATATGCAGAAGGAAAATGATAAAAAATAAAATTCGGTGGGGTGGGCCGTACAAAACTTTGATATCCTTGTCCATCGCGCCAGCTGACTGCCGCTGCACTGCTGTGCCTTCGATAGAGACGTTTTAAATAATATTCATGATACCACCCCGCTGCCCGCTCCGCGCCCGCTCCTCCTCTCCTCCCTCGGGTCGCCGTGTCACGGTTGTAACCTTCACCCACCCCTCCCTCCCTCCGCGTCCACCCTCGGGGAGGGAAGGGCGTGCGCAGCGTGCGCTCTGTTACTGTTGCTCACATCGCCGCCGCGCCGTGGAGTGGCGCAGCGTGGCGCGCCAAGTGCGTAACAGATTCCTGATGAGATGCCAATCTGGCACTTCTTTCCGCTCCGGCTGCAGCCAGTGCAGCGCACCAGCAGCATCCGCGCGGCCCAGCATCAGCGGCGGCTCCGAGACAAAAGTGATCCCGAGCCACCTGCTTCGGCCGCCAACAACCTGCATCGGAATCATTATTGTATCCGGCACAATCATAACCTAATTAAAATGATCACCATCATTTTCACAACCAACAACGGGAAGCCACAACATTACCATTATTACCACCGAAATATGTATCACAGCACTCGGTAATCATAAAAATTATGGCACAAAAAGGCGACAGAGAAATTATATCTTTAAAAACTGACCATGCGTTCCAAAAATGCAACCTCCGTTATGGTTAAGACTTTGTCTCCATCGACGCAGTCGCCGTCCTCCCCGCCACCTCGGCGCGGCTCCCCATTCCACCTCCCCCTTCCGCGGTAAATAAATCTCAACAAAATATTGCGAGGCGGGACATGATTACGGCCGGCCATACGAGTGCATTGAGGAGAGGAGCGGGGGGGGGGGGGGTACATCGCATTAATGACCACGGCGAATCCCTCAATGACACAGGGAGGGGTGGGCACACGCACC